GACTTTTCTGACCTGACAGAGGTGCACAGGAATGGTACACCATGGGAAAGAACAAGGTCGACGATTGTCTGACCCTGCATTGGCTACCTCATTTCAGAAGGTGTGGAGGAGGAGATATGTGCTGTCTCCAGAGGGCCAGGAGACTCTCTGATAAATAATAGAAAAGCAATGATTCTAGACAGCCATGACCATAAATGCCAGGAGTCAAGTCCTGAAGACATGGATGCAAACTTCGCAAGAAGTTCAACTTATTTCACAAGTGATCAACCTCAGTGCATATATCTTCAAATATATCCAACCACCACACAAATAACCTCAAGCATTGCCCACAGACACAGTTCCCTATCTTGCAAAAGACGATGGCAGATAGCAGATGCTCACTGGTGAGGGAAAGATGTGACTACATGTCCTCACCCCTCTAGATATGATACTGTCACTATCAGTGGAGTAGCAACTGATAAAGTCAAAGCCCCAAATGGGAGAGCTACAGAGAATGATGGTATCCTCATTAGTCTTCCTCCAAATATCCCACCTACACCTTATCCTCACATCTTCAAATTTAGAAGATGCAGATTATTTAAGCATGCAATTTTACTTCTTTCCCCTTCCACCCTGTCACCACATACTTACTTTTTCTTTCAAGGTAACAAAGAATTGCTGCCTGGTAACAGGAGCAACAAGCAGATTAACGAGAAGACAGTGATGATGAGGAAACAGTGAACTTAACCTCACACTCACAAGCATCAGCTCAGATACCGACACTACATGTCTAGAGACAGGATATGCATATACTAAATCACTGGGCATGAGTGGTCTGCTGCTAGGGCAGGGACAAGGGTAATGCTTCCTGGAGGACGAGGTCATAAACATTCTGCTATGGAAGATTCATGTCAGCACCTTAATGTGACAGCCTGGAGAAAAAGGGTGATAGATATTCACACTTTGATGTTTGGTGCATTGGTAGCATGTGTTCATTATTAAGGAGCATGGAACAGTGCAGCACCTACTTTGCACAGGAGCTTTGCTCAGAGCTTGGAGACTATGCTTTCAAGTATGGAGTTGTGACCAACTCCATTAACGCACTTGTGCGCCTATCCATGATGCAGCTGATAAAAACTGTTGACTCAGCTTGTATTGATTTGAAAGCCAAGGCCCCTGGGAGCTGTAGTGGAAGCCCAGGCTGTCATCATGGCTGTGGGTAATAGCGCTCCAGTGAGATTGCAGGATTTCTCAGAAGCCCAGCAACTGGGAGTCCAACAGATTACCATGATCGATGGTTGCTTCTCTGGGAGATTGCATTGGTTCCATGGAGCAAAAACCTGTTGACTTCTCAAGGGATGCAGTTATTCAACCGTCACTACCAATGCTGTTGTTGTTACCTGTCAGCCAGCCAACCAGTCCAAGCTGCTTCCATTTATGATAAAGTGATACAGACCCTAGCCAAGACCTTTTCCCATCTCAGAACAGCTTGAGGTGCTGTTTGAAGACCATTCGCTGTTTTCCTCTCTAAACATCAGGAGCCTTCCAAGACCCATACTGTAATTACTGGGGCGGTATTGTGTAGGATCACATTGAAGACTGTTAAATCCTGGCAGAACAATGCTACAAAGTTTCAATTTTTAAACAAAGACTAACTTTATTATCAATCAAAAAGAATTAAACAAATAAAACACTATTAACTTAACACTGTTAATGTAATATAATTTGAAATTGCATACAATATGAACTAAGTTTTACTTTTTACTTCCACCAAAAGATTTACTTATACATTACAACAATCTTGAATATGCTTTCACTTTTTGAGACCAACCTAAAGATATACCACAGACCTCTTGAATTCATTTTAATTTGTATCAGTTTTCAGCTATCATCCAAGTTAAGATTCTATACTGAGTCAAAGCCACTGTAGATTTCTTGAACTAGTTGGAAGCTAAAGCAACTGATCCACTGCTTTTTCATCATGAAATCTAATCTGAGATAGAGCCCGACTCACATTCCAAAGAAAAATAAAAAAGCTTTATTTTCTCTGTTTGAATGGCAAATTGACTATCATCTTCTGCTCCCCATCCCCTAGCTACCTCTAGGTGCCAAGGAAGATTTGTGCAGCCTTTGGCAGTAGTATAGAGGGAACTCCAGATGCAGTCTTTCAAATTAGACTTAATAGAATATTTAACAAGTGTTGAAACAAAAGGAAGTTCTTTATGTTAGTGGCAATCTTACACTTTGATAAATATTGATGCTTTGATGTTCTTTTGGTGCACTTAATACTAGCATCACAATTGGTGTGTTATAAACTGTCTAATGGAAACCAGGCTGTGTACATCCAGTTGGAACAACAGATTTGGCAATTTCAAATTGTATACAAGGAAAATCTGAATGGATGATTTTAAATACTGACATAATTTGTGGGCAACATTTTTGAAAGCCTTCAGAAAATCTCAGCAGACATCTCAATCCATTATTGATCTTAGTCAAAGCTAAAGGGTAGGAGCCTCAGAATAAGGTGAAAACATAACAAGCTTCCATTACCAAGTTGGCATGACTGAATGGAGATGAGGCAAGCTTTCAGGGTGATCTGCTGGCCCAGAATCTGGGAAGACTGGGCAGCATGGTGGCTTAGTGGTTGGCACTGCTACCTAACAGTAGGGACTAGGGTTCGACTCCACCCTCAGTCAACTGTCTGTGTGGAGTTTGCACATTCTCCCCATGTCTGTGTGGCTTTCCTCCGGGTGCTCCAGTTTCCTCCCACAGTCCAAAGATGAGCAGGTTAGGTGGATTGGCTATGCTAAATTGCCCATAGTGTTCAGGTATAGGTGGGTTAAAGGGGGATGGGTCTGGGTGGGATGTTCCAAGGATTGGTGTGGACTTGTTGGGCCGAAGGGCCTGTTTCCACACTGTAGGGATTCTATGAGATAGATAGATAGATACACCAGACCAGCACAATTGGTTGTTTTCACTTTAGACAATCACCATATTGATTCATGGTATACTACGGCATACATGGCTTTCTGATTGGGATGCAGCCAAACAATATTCTAGCATCATGGTTTACCCAGAAATTCCACTCATCATAATAGGGTAGGCCAGTGGATGTTGTCTGCATGGACTTTATTAAACTATTTGGCAAGTTCCCTCATGGTAGGCTGGTCCAGAAGATTGTCATAGGGCATCCACGGAGAGTTGGCAAGTTGAATACAAAATTGGCTTGGTCGTAGAAGACAAAGGATAGGGGTGTTTTTTTTTTGACTGGAGGTCATGACCAATGGTGTTCCACAATAATCAATGCTGACCTCTGTTGTTTGTACTATTTGTAAATGATATGAATGAAAATGTAGCTGGTCTAATTAGTAAGTTTGCCGACAACATGACAATTGGTGGAGTTGTGGACATTGAAGAGGTTGTCAAAGGATACAGGAGGATATAGAGCAGTTGGAAAGTTGGGCGGAGAAATGGCAGATGGACTTTAATCTAGACAAGTGTGACATGATACATTTTGGGAGGTCAAATACAGGAGGAAAGAATTTAGCTATTGGTAGGACCCTTAGGAACGTAGCTGTACAGAAGGATCTTGGGATGCAAGTCCAAAGCTCCCTGAAAGTGGCAACACAAGTGGATAAAGTGGTACAGAAGGCATACAGCTTGCTTACCTTCATCAGTTGGGCATTGAGTATAAAAGTTAGCAAGTCACGTTGCAGCTGTACAAGACTTCAGTTCGGCCACATTTGAAGTATTGTGTGCAGTTCTGGTCACCACATTATAACAAGGATGTGGAGGCATTGGAACGCGTGCAGAAATGGTTTATGATGATGTTGCCTGAATTGGAGTGTATTAGCTATCAGGAGAGGTTGGACAAACTTGGATTGTTTCTGGTACAGCCTTGGATTCTGAGAGATGATCTGATAGAAAGATATAAAATTATGAGAGGCATGGATAGTCAAAGTCATTTCCCAGGGTGGAAAATGTCAAAAACTAGGGGTGGGGGGGAAATGTTTAAGATAAGAGGGGGAAAGTTTAAAAGAGATGTGCAAGGAAAGTTTAAGAGGGTGCTTGGTGCCTGTAACACACTGCTGGGGAAGTTGTAGAAGCAGATATGATAGCAAAGTTTAAGAGGCATTTAGACAGACACATGAAGAGGAAGGGAATAGAAGGATATGGATCGTTTGCAGGCAGGTGGGATTAGTTTAGAATGGCATTCTAGTGGGCTGAAGGGCCTGTCCCTGTGCTAGAATGTTTTATTTTCTAAAGTGAGAAATATGCACATCGGTAATGTATGGATGTGGATCTGTAGCTATCATTGGTGGCCCAAATTATCTCTTGTGCACTGTAAACTGTGTGCAGTTCTCCACAGAACTTCTTTCCATACCCTGCAATTGGAACGACTAATGTTGGGAAACCCATTGATACACAGTCAGTGGCACTGGGGGAGAAAATTGAGAATTTTATCCGATCAGTCAGGGCTATACTTCATTGCAAATTCCAGTCATGAAAGACCAGAAGCCAACTTTTTGTTTGATTAAGTTTCTGCTATACTGTGGACAATTGATTCAAATGATTGGTAAATCATTTCCATTATAACTCAAGTTTCCATTGGGTGTCTTCAGTTGTTGAGGTCTTCTTATAACAGTACAACATTTGGAAATTACCTGGTAAATTCTTTAACTGTATCACCGCTGTCACTGGAGAAAGAAATGTAGGTGACAGCCTCCCTCCACAGTTTTATCCATAGTTTCCTGGTAACTATCATGAATTGTTGGTTTTGTACACAAGGTACACTGCGAAATTACAATTTTAGTTATCACATTTAGTAGTAATAAGTAAATTTGATTGTGATATTCCAAGTTTGGTTGTAATTTTGACATCCATGCTAAAGTTTATATTTAATTCCAACTTTGCCACATTGTACCATTTGCTAGCCTTGATTTAAAAGAAGAGGACTTGGAAAATATAGCAAAGTCATGATTTTACTTCCTGACTATTTTCTACATGGTTTTTTCTTCCAGTTAGCCACAAAAATCATCGGGCTACAACACCATTAAGATGAGTTGTTAATTTCGTTGCTTGTGGTTGAGGGTCCGCTTTACCATCCGTTTGAAGACAGCTTGTGACATCACAGAAGAAAGATGTTTCTGCCTTGAATTTATTAAATAAGCTAGTCCTAATTAGTAAAATGAAAATAGTTTTCTTCACGTACTTGAAGAAACTTGCGTTCCTTTGTAATTAATACAGTAACAGAAATTGTTCCTTTGTTGATTACATTTAATTAACTTGTAACAAAATGGCTAATACTATTATAAATTAGGTAATTCAAAAACATCACGATATAAATATGCATTTCCATTTAAAAAAAAATTTAGAAGTGCTGTCTGGACCGAGTAAGGATTATTTTAGATTGCTATATCAGAAGTGTATATTAACCTTTTGGCTAAATAGACTATCAGGAAATCTGAATAATTTGAATTCAGGGGAATTATTTGTGGAAAATATTAAACATTACTACAGATCATAAATATTTTACTTCTGTTACAACTTACTGTTTTCTTGTTAGTAATGTTTAAGTGGAGCTTTCAAGTGTTTTATTTATTTCAGGCACTGCCTCCCGATTTAGTTTTGCTTATCTTTATTTTTTAGGCAATTAGGATTTAATTTAAATTTATATTTTCCTTTAAGGGGCTTTTACCAAAAAAATACCAAAACATGTTTTGGTTGTTGGTATATTCAGTAGTATTCCCTGCAGGCAATATTATTACACGTGGTTAAATACAAAGATTTTATAGATGCCCACCTGGTTGGATTTTGATCTGTTAAAAGGTAAACAAAATTTATTTCAGCTACTGAGTTTACCCAATCATTCCAATTTCAGTTTGCTATCTTAAAGAAATACTCTTCCAGCATTAGTTATAACTTAGTAATATTTAACAAAACACTTAAGATGTTACAATCAATTGTATGAATGCTTAGTTTATCTCTGGTTTTTGTAAGTTAATGTATTTCTTGCAGTATTAAATGCAAGATGCTAAAGCCTGATAAATCTTTCTCATGTAGTTACATCCTCAAATGTATGTAATTGTAATTAGTTTCCCAAGCCTGGTTTCATTTTACTGAATTAGTTACAAATGTAGTTTAGTGGGTACATTGTTGTGAAAATCCTGAAGTTGTGTTCTATCACTTACTGTTCCTCCACAGGCTGCACTGTGCATGAAACCTCTCTTGCTTTCCAGTGGGAAAAGCAGATGGTGTGGCAAGAACTTGCCCTTTTCTGCTTTTACACTGTCATTAGAAACTCCATAGAAAATCTCTTTGTTCAATCAGGTTAACTTTTTTTTTTGAAATGGGGGTCTAAGCAATAACTATTGCTGTACAACAGATCCAGCCCTGAAACTAAAATTAACAGATGTTATAATGTGCCTTTGTTATGATTAATTGCTAGATTTTTTAAAACTAGGCTTTCTTCTTGAAGTTTTGCATGATATTTCAGTTTCTCCCTGCATTACATTTTTTTATGAAGCAGTTGTGTCTTTTTTTCCCTGGTTAGCGGTCAGTGAGAATTCGTCAATGTGATTAATTGTTTGGGTAACTCGATAAATTCATTGAAGATCAATGGTGTGTATCCCTGGTGAAGATTGCTATTATCCACTGAATTGTGAGACAAGGTAAAAGATCTTAGCGCAGAGATGATAAGACCTCCCCGTCAGGTTTATTTGAAGTCAGCAGTGAACAGTCTTATTTTTCTGCTCAATGTAAAATCTAGCCAATATTTCTTTACATCACTTGGGCAATGTTTAAAGTCTATTCTTTAAAGATTAAATATAGAAAGTAATTAGTAGGGAAAAAAATTGAACTAGAGATATTCTAGACACCTAAATGGAGAATATTTTATCCTTTGTACACTGCAGCGAATTTCTATCAGAGAGAAAAAAAATTACAGGATTGCATGCAAGTTGTTTATATTAAAATGCATTGAAACACTTGGCTCTGAGTGTATCTTAGGTGAAACAAAAACAGAAGTTGCCGGAAAAGCTCAGCAGGTCTGGCAGCATCCATGAAGAAAAAAAATCGGAGTCAACGTTTCGGGTCCAATGACCTTCCTCAGTTAACTCTGCTTTTTTTCTTCAACTGAGGAAGGTCATTGGACCTGAAACTTTAACTCCGATTTTTTTCTTCATAAATGCTGCCAGACCTGCTGACCTTTTCCGGCAACTTCTGTTTTTGTTCCTAATTTACAGCATCCGCAGTTCTTTTGGTTTTTATTCAGTATTCTTAGGTGAAGCCTGGCATCCAGTGGGCACACTGGGATAAGGATACCTTTTATCCCTTCCATTGTTTACCATGTAAAATACAAATATTATGATGATCTCAACAGACTGGACAAGTCAGATGCCAGAGCAAAATTTGGCTTGATAGGGGTCAGTTAGCTGGACAGTTGTTTTGCATTACAGAGCGATGCCAATAGCATGGGTTCAATTCCCGCACCAACTGAGCTTACCATGAAGGACTATCTGCTCTTCTTGACTAAGGTGCGGTGACCCTCAGGACAAACCACCGCCTTCTCTTTTTCTAATGTGAGAGCAATGCTATGGTCTGGTAAGATGATGGAAACTTCTCCTTTACTACGTAATCATCATCTTCAGTTTATCAAGACTGAGTTAATCATCTGCCATAGACCTCATGTGGGAATCCTTCCCATTTGATGTTGGTAACTTAGAAGTATACCAATAAAGGAAGATTGGTGGCAGTGAACCTACCCAAGGCATTCCAGAAGTTCAAGTGCACACAACCAAAATGTATAGCACACTGGCAGCACTGGTATCTGAAAATATTGCACTTCGGAAGCTCACATGAATGTTTTACAGTTCTTGGTGAACATGGGCCTAGATTGCTTCATTATCTGAAGCATTGTGAATGGAATGGAACACCATCACCACCTCGGAGTCAACAGGAATCATGGGAAAATTCTTCAATGGTTACAGTTATAACTGACACAAAAGATGATGGTTGTGGTTGTTGAATGTCAATCATCTCAGCCCTAGGACATCTACGTAGTGGCCTACGCCTGATCATCAGGGTAATACCTGAAACATTTGACTTCTCCTTTCCTCCAGATGCTGCCTGGCTTGCTGTGTTCTCCCAGTCTCCTGTGTTTCTACCCTGATCATCATCAGCTGCTTCAAAAAGTATCTTCCTTCTATCAGAAGGTCAGAAATGGGGATGCTCGCTGATGATTGGTCAATGGTCAGCATCATTTGTGACTCATAGATCTGTACAGCACAGTGCGCCAAAGAGCCCGATCCTATGTTGTACCAAACAGGACACTAAATTAAACTAATCCCTTCTGCCTGCCCTTGATCCATATCCCTCCATTCCTTGCATATTCATTTGCTTATCTAAAAGTCCCTTAAACACACCTATCATATCTTCCTCCAACACTACCCCTGGCAGTGCATTCTAGACTCTTACCACTCTGTATAAAAAAACCTTGCCCCTCACATCTCCTTTGAATTTACCCCCTCTCACCTTAAATGCATGCCCCCTACTATTACACATTTCAACTCTGAGAGAAAGCTTCTGACCTTCAGAAAACCTCAGCTACCGAAACAGTCCTTGCTTAAATGCAGCAAGATCAGGACAAAAATCCAGGCTCAGTATGACAAACATTTGCACCACTGAAGGTAGACAAAGAGAACACTTAACCATTGCCCCTGGAGAAATTCAGTAGGTCTTGCAGCAGAGTTAACATTTATAGAGCCCAGTGACCCTTTCTGCTTCCTCCACCTCCTCAGGCAGCACATTCCAGGCACTCACCATCCTTTGTGTAAAAAAACTTGCCTCACACATCTCTCAAACTCCATCCCCCTCACACCTTGAAACTGTGTTACCTTGTAACTGACCTCTCCACCTTGGGGAAAAACCCTCAGTTTCCACTCTATCCATGCCATTTACAATCATATAAATTTCTATTGGATCGCGCTTCAGCCTCCTGCGTTCCAGTGAAAACAAACCCAGTCTATCCAACCTTTCTTCATACCTAAAATCCCCCAAACCAGGCATTGTCCTGGTAAACCTTTTCTGTACCCTCTTCGAAGCATCCACATCCTTTTGGTAGTGTGGTGACCAAAAATGTATGCAATATTCCAAGTGTGGCCTAATTAAAGTTCAATAAAGCTGGAACATAACTTGCCTATCCTTATAAGCAATGCCCCTTCCAATGAAAGCAAGCATGCCATAGGCCTTTTTTCAACTACCTTATTTACCCGCACTACCACCTTCATTAGTCTGTGGACCCGCACACCCAGATCCCTGTGGTGTGGGGGTTGGTAAAGGACATAGACAAGGTAGTCAGGCCCTAAAATTAATCAAGCTTCATGTTAAGTCATATTCTCCTCCCTCAGAACAGCATTCAATGTTCCACTTGGGGCCCTGCAGCCTTCAGCACTCAATATCAAGCCAACCCATTTTCACTTACTTGTGGTCCCCATTATCAGCTTTTTCTTTCTCCCTGGCTTACCATTATCATCCATCCCCTTGTCTACGTAACTGTCTTCCTCTCCCTCTGTCTCCATCCATCTACACCAACACCATTTCACCAATCCCATTTTAAGCATATATACTACTTTTACTTTGTTTCAATCAGTTCTTGGGAATGGGGAGGTCACTGGGCTCTAAACATTAATTCTGCTTTCTTTCCACAGATACTGCCAGACCTGCTGAGTTTGTCCAGCAATTTTCTGTTTTTGTTTCATACCTAATAAGATGGTCATGGACCTAACAAAGGAGATTCTGCAGAAGTGTGTCATTTGGTAATAACACTCCCAGGGACTTTGCATGGAATGCAGCTGCTGGTGGACATGACTCAGCTCAAATATATGGAGTGGGAAAATGAGAGATCCTATGTATTAGAAACCAAATTAGAAATCTTTAGAACTGCGCGGATCTGCTAGCAGAGATGCGGGTGATTACATAATATGTATCTTTGTTTTATCAACAAAAATGAAAATATAAAATTTCACTATCTTTACCTGTTGGTTCATATTCAACTTATGTTGATTCTGTTGTATGTTAAAGTTACAAAAAGTGAAAGCTTTTTGGCAACTACTTTATTTGGGGTTTACTTGGGTAAATTTAGTTGTTCTGATTTAGTTTCCCAATAGGGTTATAAAAACTCTCTCCAATTCTGCACATGTGGAACATGCTTATCCTCAATTACTGTCAAAACAAAAACTCATCTCAATCCACACAGTTAGCCAAATATTGCACCTCGCATCTGAAGGTGGCTGGATTAGGTTCAGCACTTTGCATACTTTAGTAGGCAACTCTCTTAAAAAGTGGTGTAGAGATCCAACATCCATTCAGAGGTGCCTGCTCAGACATACAAGTCATAGCAGAGAGTGGTGTTCCACAATAAAGATGCTTAAAAGGTCCTAGAGTACAGCAGATGTTCTCCCCACACTCCTGTAGTGCGGCGAGACCTGGATTGTATGTGTCACATTTGAGCACTAGAAAAATTCTATCAATAACACTTCCACCGCAATTTCCAGATTTGTTGAAGACAGACTAGGGTCTTTCTGAAGTTAGCTTTAAAAACATTCAGGCAAATCTCCTACAAAATCAACTTCAACAGATTAAACAGAGTGCTGAAAACAATACCCAACCTGAGATTCTGTTTTCACAACTCTCAAATGGCCAAGAACCGGGAGTCAAAGAAAATGCTTCAAAGACAGATGGTCTGACAGCTCTCAAAAGTGCAGCAAGATTTGGTTTTAATAATTGTGAGGTGCTTCATCCAGAATGGTGACTCATTTGTCAACCAAGCTGCAATACAATGAGTCACAGTATCTTAATGATGAATTGGAGCACTGGCAGGGGAGAGAAAGCAGCACATCCTGCAATACAGAACCACTTTCTTGAGACATCTGACTCTGGTGTGCCCAGCCATGTGCGTCAACAATCGGCCTGGTCAGACCCATAGCCAAAAACCTCTGGCCCAGAATGGGCTTCATCCTCGCATTGAGAGATAGCCAATTAATGTGTGGGAGAAAATCTTCAGAAATATTATGCTGGAACAACATTAATAAGTCACATACACTTGGATAAATATGGATTGATTAAAGAATGAGAATGCCTGCTGACACCCCAAAATTCTGTCAGGTCGCATGTGCGAAATGCACAGTACCTCTGCCAGTATTGTCATTCTGCCTCATGCACTTGTGGTTTATGGTTATTTAGGCACCTTTTTTAAAAAAAATCACAGAATAAAATCCCTGCAGTGTGGAAGCAGGCCATTCAGTCCACACTGACCTACCATACAGCAGCCCACCCAGACCTGTCCTATCCCTTTAACAACTCATCCACTTAGCCTGCACATCCCTGGACACTATGGGCAATTTAGCATGGCCAATCCACTTAACCTACACATCTTTGGATTGGAGGAAGAAACCTTTCTGTTTATATACCACAGTGCCACCATGGGCATCCCATCTATCTTGACGGATGTAGTTGCTGATGCTGTTTGTGGTGACAAGGATATTGTAATATATAAATTCCATGAGTATAAGTGGATCAGGGGTGTTGCTCAACTAGTGTGTGGGATGAATCTCCCAATTTTGGCACCAGACCTCCAACATTGGTAAGGAGCACTTTGAGGGTTGTGCTTGCTGTTGTCATTTCCACTACCCAAGCTAATGCCAGGGTTTTCCATACAGTTTCTTTCTTGTGGTTAAACTTTATAATTGTATGATACAACCGAGTGGTTTGCTTGGCCTTTTCAGAAGGCAGTTAAGAGTCAACTCAATAGCTATATCTGGAGACACATGATCAGGGTTTTGGGTGGGGGTTGGGGTTCATCCATGCATCAAAACTTGCACAGGGTTCTGACATCTTGCATCATCTGTCTGCTGAGAGAGATCAGAGGACTTGGGGCCATTGTTAACTTGGC